AACTTTAAAGCTCTATAACAGCACTGTCGAAAGATGTAAAAATGAGCTGCGTTACCTTCAGGTTCTCCACTCTTTAGTAGAAGAAGCACAACAAAAATAAAATCCCTTATCCTCAGTGCGGAAAACTGAGCAGAGTTTATTTAAAACTTAATTTGAGATTAATGAAAAATGTATTTTATTTTTGAACACATAAAATGGTACCGTTTTCTGTTTGTGAAAACAAAAAAATTTTTCCAAACTTATTGCTAAAATCTTGTTACTTTCTCTTGACCCCCATTATTGTGCGTCATGTCACCACCAGTAAGTCGCAATTCAAGGCATTTAGGCATTTAGACATGGTCAAAACGAATCTGCTGCAGTTCAAACCAAGCATCAGAATGGGGAAGAAAGGTGATTTAGGTGACTTTGAACGTGGCATGGTTGTTGGTGTCAGACGGGCTGGTCTGAGTATTTCAGAAACTGCTCATCTACTGGGATTTTCACGCACTACCACTTCTAGGGTTTACAGAGAATGGTCCGAAAAAGAGAAAATATCCAATGAGCGGGCGTTCTGTGGGCGCAAATGCCTTGTTGATGCCAGAGGTCAGAGGAGAATGGCCAGACTGGTTCCAGCTGATAGAAAGGCAACAGTAACTCAAATAACCACTCGTTACAACCAAGGCATGTAGAAGAGCATCTCTGAATGCACAACACGTCGAACCTTGAGGCGGGTGGGCTACAGCAGCAGCAGACCACACCGGGTGCCACTCCTGTCAGCTAAGAACAGGAAACTGAGGCTACAATTTACACAGGCTCACCAAAATTGAACAATAGAAAATTGGAAAAGCATTGCCTGGTTTGATGAGTCTCGATTTCTGCTGTGACATTCGGATGGTAGGGTCAGAGTTTGGCGTCAACAACATGAAAGCATGGATCCATCCTGCCTTGTATCAACAGTTCAGGCTGGTGGTGGTGGTGTAATGGTGTGGGGGATATGTTCTTGGCACACTTTGGGCCCCTTAGTACCAATTGAGCATTGTGTCAACGCCACAGCCTACCTGAGTATTGTTGCTGACCATGTCCATCCCTTTATGACCATAGTGTACCCATCTTCTAATGGTTACTTCCAGCAGGATAACGCGCCATGTCATAAAGCACGAATCATCTCAGACTGGTGTCTTGAACATGACAATGAGTTCACTGTACTCAAATGGCCTCCACAGTCACCAGATCTCTATCCAATAGAGCACCTTTGGAATTTGGTGGAACGGGAGGTCCAACCTGGTACTAGCAAGGTGTACCTAATAAAGTGGCCGGTGAGTGTATATTTTATTTGCTTTTAAATTAACATGCCTGTTGCTAATCATACTATGTGGATTCAGCAGGTGTTATTTAAAACAAAAACCTTACGATAGGCGTTGTTCAGAAATGATCTCTTATTTGGCGACCCTTCCTTCTTCTCTGAGTTGAATAATCAGACAATGTTGCTGAGGCTCCCATTGTCTGCACACCCTGTCTACGTGACTTTTATACATATGAAAGTGGGATATCATTGTCGATGTCGCCCAGCTTTCTGCAGGTTGACCTTTTTCTATGGATTAATAGGTTTTATGCTTGCAGGATTAATAAATTTCTTGGTTCCCACAGTGGGGATATGAGCAGTCTCTATGCATATTGCTAAGCCTGCCCCTCCTCATATGAACCTCTACTCATCTACTTTTTAGCTTCCTAATCTATATCTATAGTTTTGTATGTGTTCTTAACACTTAATCTTTTAGATTGAGCCTCTTTATGACTGTTAGTAAAAGAAATGTACTCTGTTCGAGTAGTTGGTTTTTTTTTTAAGCATAGATCATTTTCAACTGTATCTACCTCTATTTCTTGCGATTATTATTCCTGGTATTTTTTCCAAAGAGCTCATTCCCTTTATTACCATCCCGAATCTAATTTTTATTAAAGATTATTCAAGTCCTTCTGGTTTGCTGTGTCTGCTCTTCATTACCATCTCTGTCTTTTTGTTGTGCTGATTTTGAAGGACTGAGCAGTTTTGGCCCTCACGTTGTCTGTGGCCAAGGTCAATTATGGCCTTTCCATTCAGAGCATGGCCAATCACATGCTAAGGAGCCACTGATGTGGAGCTTCAGGCGGGGGGAGATTGAGCGGGTAGAAAATCAACCATTTGGTGCATCAGAAATGATTCGATTTTCCACTGGTGTGAAAGTGTGTGCTATGTCTGAGTCTCCTTCACTTTGTTTTCCTTCAGTGTCATCCACATTTTCCCAAAGTACAGGATGTTGACTAGAATTTGTTGTGATTATTAATCTGACAATATTATTTAATATTTAATATTTTAATATTTTATCAAATAATATTGCGGTCTTTTAAGGGTTGTCCTGTGAATACCAGCCTAGTAAGGCGATGGTATTAGGACAAAGTTGAAAGGTGTGAGCCAAGCTCTGACATTATTGAACAGCATAAGCTCTGCACACACATGGAATGAATTCACACAATTTCTTAAAATAAGAATTTATTAACAAAAATAAGTCAACTCAAAGTCAAACATATTTCAATCAACAAACTCTTTCTATGCTAAAACAATCCAACAAAACTACCAAGCAGAATTAAAGAATAAGGAAGACTAATGGGCTATGTACAATATAAACAAGTTGATTAAAGATGATTGAAAATCATGACCAAAAGAGTGATGCAACATTACCATGCAATGTTTATGTTTGAGAACCAAGGATTATCTTGAAGAATCTGGAAGTGATGTTAAGTTAGTCTTGGAAACAACTTAGGCAATAATCAGCATACGTTTAGATAACCAATCACAATGCAAGATCTGATAAAATATTATTTTAATAAAATAATGTTTCAAAAAATGATCTACTGAATAAAACCAACCTTCTGGATGAATAATTTCTCAATGGTGTCTAATTAGTTGCCTTTATTTATTAAAATAATATTTGAAGAAATATTATTAAGGGAATATTTGGAAAAGAGCCAAATCTTTCTGGAGAAATGGGCTTAATGGTGTTTACTTAGTTATCAGATTTAGTAAAATAATGTTTAGAGACTATTATTCACTAACTTGAAAACTAACAACCTTCCTGTTAAATACTCTTTAGTAGCAAGCACGTGTTCTAAAGCTGTTAGCAGTTAAGCTAACAAAGGAGGCCGATAGCTTAGCACCAGAACCAAACACATACCTTTAAAATACCAGGGTCAATAAAAGGGTTAAAATGCATAAGCGCGGGCGGCGCGTTATGAGCAACCTTCTGTGTTTAAAATCACCCTTTAACTAAAGTTTGTCTTAACTTTAAAAACACATAAACACAGAACACAAAGCTGATCACATGTGCTTCAGATAGCACTAAGATAGCAGTTTCACACAAACAAAACCAAACTTCATAAAATGAAAAACGTTTAGATCATTTCATCCTAACTGTTATTCTGCCCAAACCTGACCTCTGACCATACTGAGGAAAAGATGTCTGGGGCGGCGAAGTTTGAAGAAACGTCCACAGTCAACAAGCGGTTAGCCTTCAGCTAACCTAACGAAGCTGTGGGTGGGCGGCCCGTTCTGTCGGCCGGCCAAAACTGCACGTTACCGGTGATGCGGCTACTCGTCGTCCTTCTTTCAGGCAAGGAAAACCGCTTCACTAGGGTTGTAGAGACCGCGTCTCTGCTGGGGACTTTTCTCGAACACCGTGTGCGTCTGCAGGGCTCGGAGAGAAAGTCAACAATGCCTGTGCCTTAATTCCGCGTTCGTGAATGAATACCGGATACACAAACAGCAATTCATTCAATACTCAACTTTTGCATATGATCGGTGATCATATGAGACTTTTGGATCCAGTTTGAAGAGTTAAGTCCTTTTGCCAGCAAAAAGACTTCAGCGCGCTGTGTCTGCTCCTGGTCCGATGGTCAACCGGCTTGGAGAGGTCGGCTTGTGGGAGAGGGGGTGCTTTTATACAGCCAGTGGCATCATGGGAAGTCTGCTGCTACCCCCCTTTTTCAGTTGCTGGAAGTCAGTTAAATGCAATTTATTTTGAAAACCCCAGAAGAGTTTGTACCGGAGTTTTAATGTTGAAATCCATGGCTTAGGGTTCCAACAAATTGTACAGGCGACAGCTCTGAATGTAAGGCGAGTAAAGCTTTGTTACCTTTTGTTAAGTTCTGCATAAAAACATTAAAGTCTGAGTGCTGTTGACGTTTTTATTGAGCACGAGAATTAAAGCTAAAGAACATTAAATAGGCACAAAGTCATTATTTATGAATGAAATTGACATGAATGAAAACTGCTGTTGATTTTGTGTGCTCCCAGAAATTATCTTCTTTGCGTAAAAACTCAGTGATTTCCAATAATGACACTTTGTAACCCTTCAGGGAATAACAGAAACAATGTAGTATACTCAAATGTGTAAATAAAGCTTTTTCCATTAAAGAAGCACGGTTGGTTTTTCAAGTGTAGTTTGTATACTGCTCAAATTATTTCAATTAAAAACAATTAAAGTAGGACCTTACCTTATAAACAATTTTCTCTTAATCTGCTGCCAGCAGTGTTTTCTAATGAAGAAGTGTCATACAAAAACATGCAATTAACCAGACCTGCCAACTTTTTGTCTTAAAACTTGAAGAATGTACTACAGGTTCTTTGATAACTGGTAAATGGCCTGCAGTTGTATAGCACTTTATCAAGTCCCCAGAGATCCCAAAGTGCTTTACACTACAATCAGTGATCCACCCATTCATCCACACATTCACACATGGATAGTGGTGAGGTACATTGTAGCCACAGCTGTTTTGGGCAGACTGACAGAAGTGAGGCTGCCATACAATCGGCACCACTGAGCCTTCTGACCACCATCAGCAGGGTGATTGATAAATGTAGGAGTTTTGAATCCAACAGAAAATAAAGAAATTACAAATTTATTAACACCAAAATTGCATGAAAATACATGTTTTCATTGATACTTTTGTCCCGAGGGTTCAATAGGGGTTGAAGATGTAAATCTGAGGGCTGCATGGTGGTGCAGTTGATAGCACTGTTGCCTTGCAGCCTGGGTTCGACTCCCAGCCTGGGACCTTCTTGGTGCACAGAGTTTGCATGTTCCCCATGTGCATGCGTGGGTTCTTGCCAGGCACCAGCTCCCCCGCGAGTCAGTATGTAAGAAGCAGGTATAGAAAATGGACGACTGGAGGTAACTTTAGGTTCACTTTTCTACAACAATGCTGTTGACAAACCATTAACAATTAAATTTGTTTTACATTGCGTATTTGATCCTTTAGCAGCACACTATACTCGCCATCTTTATGGCAATATCTCAAACACTTTCTTATAATAATTTGCTCAACATGTTATCAGTCATTTGGCTGTAATTCCTAGCTGCCCTTGAACAGAGGTCTGGGTGCTAATGTGGTAAAATGGTGAAAATTGTCTAAAGAAAAAGCAAGTGATCGTCATAAAAGCCTCTAAACACGCCAATGACACACTTAAAACACCGGCAGTAAACAATGCATCTGACATCGGCTGCCTTCACCGCTCTGAGCTACAAATAAAGCTGATTACAGTGGCCTTCTCATTCCACAAACAAACCACCTCTGCATGTTCAGCCTCCGTAAACAAAAAAAACAAACAACTTGTGCTTATGTGAAGGCATTTGATTAGCAACAATTAGTGCCTTGGCAGCAGCTTGTATGATTACATCTACTCAGGGCTGTTTTGTATGTGTTACATAAGTAATCACTGCCGTACTAAACCTGGCTGCCATCTGAACAATGCAGCCAGGTTTACAACCGGCAAGATGGGGTTTCAGCTCACCTTTATGGGGAAAAATTTTAAACAAATCTATGATGGTGCCAGCACCATGTTTCACAGTGGGCATGATGTGTTCAGGATGGGTAATGGTTTTTCCCTTCAAATGGAGCTGAATACAAATGTATGCTATGGACAGATTTTTTTTTATTCATAGAAGATTTTTGAGAACCATGCATCATTTTCCTTACATTTTACAGTTGTGGACAATTTGTGTCAGCCCGTTACACAAAAACCACATAAAATACATTTACGTTTCTAGTTGTAACAGGAGAAAAACTGAAAAGATTCTCATGGTGTGTATAAGTTTGCAAGACACTGTCAATTTTGTAAATAATATTCAGTCAACTCCCTGCCTATTAGAAGACTTCTTACATCTTTTCAAAATATGCACAGAAAAGCTATTTTAAGCAAATATTTATTATTTGTAGCTGGAACACCCTCATCTGGAGTTCATATAAGGTTCAGTTTGTAATACTTAAGCCATCAATGTGACTGTTCATCAATGGATTTTTCTATTTAGACTCTCTGCTCTGCTTTAGAAGCAGAGTTCTGTCTTAATCCCAACATTTACAAGTAGAATAGCAGGATTGTAAATCTCTTGTGTAATGTCACTCAGCAGACAGAACAAAGTCTGGATGTTTATCACTGCACATCCCATGCAGCAAATCACTGCACTGACCTTTCAGTTCTTGCTTTAACTGCTTTGACTGTTTTCAGCTGGAACCAAATATGCTCCTCCTCTGGAGTTTTCCAACATGTCAGCTGTTGCTGTCGCTATTCATTATGCATTCGAGCCCTCTACTCACAGATGCCCACAAGTCCTCAAGCAAGGATAGAGAGGACACTCAGAATGCAGCTGGGTGCTTCCTGGGATCATTAATGTCACCCGAGATGTCTCTTTACTTCTTCTTGCTCAGCTCCTCTGTCAGCTGAATACTGTCTAGAGAAATAGCTCTGACAGTAGTAATTAGACGGTAATCATGAGAGCGTGTGTTCCGAGTTTAAAACTGATAATAAAAAAAAAGAAAGAAATTTGTCTGTAATTATTTTTCCTGTCATATCAGTACATGGACAATGTCTTGCATAGATACACTGTGTTATATCGTGCTCATAGTTTCTTGGTTTTTTGTTTTTGTCCTTTTTCTCATGTCTGTGTTTATTTCTGTGGTCTTGCTGCATAACTACTCATCGCCTGGGGACAAGTTCAGTTGAGATGAGTTTTAATAGTCAGTTTTGGGAAAGCATTGATATTGAGTGTAAAATGAAATCATTTGCCCTCTGTAGTGCTAAAATGTTTTGCATGGAGACGCATGCTCCAGAGAGTTAAATGCTCTGACCCTTACTTCTTTCTTTGGCAGAGTGACTTGTTGATTGATAGATATTATAATGTTTGGTTTTACGTAAAGTAACTTTTTTCAATTGTGCATATCACGTGACTGAAATTTTAAAGTCAGTCAGTCAGTCCTTTTCTATACCACTTATTCCATAGTGGGTTGCGGGGAAGCTGGTGCCTATCTCCAGCGGTCTATGGGCAAGAGGCAGGGCACACCCAGGACAGGTCGCCAGTCCATCGTAGGGCAACACACAAACAACCAAGCACACACTCATTCACACACCTATGGGCAATTTAGAGACCAATTAACCTAACAGTCATGTTTTTGGACTGTGGGAGAAGGCTGGAGTACTCGGTGAAAACCAACGCATGCACTGGGAGAACATGCAAACTCCATGCAAGACCCTCGACCGGGAGTCGAACCCAAGACCTTCTTGCTGCAAGGCAACAGTGCTTCCAAATGCGCCACCGTGGAAAAAAGGCTAAGGATCTGGCCAAAAAGATGCCTAACACATTGAAGATGTATACAACAAGGTTAACAGGTAACATGTGTAAGTGCATTTACCAGTGCATTAGGCAGGACAATCTAATATCCAATAATCTTACAGTTTTATTTAAGAACATTGAATTTCACCTCAGTGACCTCTGTATACACACACATTTTACAATGGAAGCACATCAAAAGTGACAAAAACAGTGTGCAGCAGCTTACAGATATGCCTGACATGACACATAAAGCTACAGTTTATAATAAACTCATGCATTGCCTCTGCTAGCTACGTTTTCATGTGAGGGGTTTTCTGAAGTGCTACGCTAACATTAAGATCATTAACATCTCCATTTAGACATGACTCTGATAATTCAGATCCTAACATATTTCCATGTGGTTCTTGCTATTTGTGTGCAGAAAACACTTACAGAAAGTTGTTCTCCTGCACCAAAAATGTGTTTAAAGGCAAACAATTTTGTCACTGGAATCTTAGCTGTTCTGTATGCAGCATTTTCCCACACCAACAGCTGTCTGAGCACAGCAAAGCAGGCTGGTCACATGACCCAGACAGACAGGGAACTGCTGCAGTCTATCTTCATTGCGAACATTATTATAAAGGATGAGAAACATTTTTTGTTGGGGGAAATCTAGAAGCTCAACAATATAACGTAATGTAACATGGTATACAATTTATACAAACTACAACACAGTTTTGAAAGCCACACACATGTAAATAGACAATGATTGATTTTGGCCAAATCAAATTGTGGCCTAATGGGTTGCTGGGGTTCTGGGTAACATAAAATCAAAGAAAGGACGCCAATAGTCAAGTCAAGTTTATTTATATACGGCGCTTTTCAGCAACAAGGCACTCAAAGCTCTGTACATGAGGAAAAACATTACAATGATACAGAAAATCAAACACAGAAAAACAAATCAAATGACATTAATAATCCTTGGGAGTTTACTGGTAAGAGCTGGTTCTAATCCAATCTGATCCCTGATCCCTGATCAAATGCAACACCAATAAGTGGTGTTGCATTTGATCAAGGACTCTGATACCAGTAATCTTAAAATGCACAGTTTAGAACCCTGATCCAATAGTTGGGATTATATTATAACACCCCCAATACTTAATCCAGCTCAAGCTTAAAATGATATAATGAAGCAGATAAAAAAAATAAATATGTACAAATATTATCTAATCACATTTTATCCTTAAGTAACACAGAAACTACATGACCAGGCCAAAGTGCTTGTAAATATTCCCGTTTGCCATTTGCTTTGAACCATTTCCTTTAAGAAGCAAGAGTTTGACTTTTAGAACTAATCCCTGCAGATGTGCTGGGCCTCTTCATTGTGATGAGAGGTCCTTGATTAATTTACCCCAAATGAAAGGCTTTATTTTTAGCCTGGCAGTGTGGACAGTGTGGACTGCTTTTTTTGCCATTCTGTCGAAGATGAATTGGTAACAGCAGAGAGAGATATGTTGCCTCAGTGCACATTTGTCACTGCCCTGCCGAGGTGTGAAGGATGGAGTAATCACTAGGTTATTTCTGTCATGTTTCGAACAAAGTTTAGTATTCATAACTAAGTAGCTGACACTTGAAGTATATTTGATAGGAATGATCAGCTTTGGACATTTCCATTTGTTTTTAGAAATAAAGAAATGAAAAAGATTAAACAGCCAAGCAGGACCAGCTTGACATCCAGGTGGGCTAGTTTTCTCAGTTCTCATTTCATCAATGTCAGTGCCTGACAATGCACATTTTCTGCCCGGAGCATGTGCTAATTGGCAAGACAATTGCTCTTACATCTGATGTCAAGGTTAAGGCCAAGGAGAAAATGAGAGCAGCATTTCATTGAAGATGATTATAACAAGGGACAATGCGCTGTGCTCATACTTTTCAAGTCAGGCAGTGAATATGAACTTCATTTCCATGGCAAGGCAATTTCTGTACACTGAGCATGATATACAAGCGGCAGCTGTCCCGATGACCCCCACATACTGTAAAATATAGTTCTGTTATCTATTAAAATCTTAAGAACAAATCATTTGGGATAACTCTGATTTAAAAATCATTTTACCAGCATGTCTCCATCTCTGCAGGAACTCTTTACTGCAGAATGCAAGTTCAAAGAGTCAGTGTTCGAGAACTACTACGTGATCTACTCATCCATGCTGTACAGACAACAGGAGTCGGGGAGAGCATGGTTCCTGGGGCTCAACAAAGAGGGCCAAGCCATGAAGGGGAACCGAGTGAAAAAAACAAAACCAGCTGCTCACTTCCTGCCCAAGCCATTAGAAGGTATGTGAGCTCAAATGTAGTACCTTGCTACTGAACACATCTTAGAACTGCAAATTTCTTTAGGATTTTATGTAATAGACCAACGCAAAGAAGTGAAAACTGTGAAGTGAACGGAAAATAACAGGCTTTTTCAAAAC